ATAATTATAATGTTTTACCTATTGGTAACATCAGTGGTGATATCATGTTGAGTCCCATCTTACATAAATTAGTGGAATTTTTTAGATCTCTATTGACTTGAAGCGATGAACAAAGGTAGCAAAAATCTAAAAGAAATCATCAAAATGTGAAAAAAGGCACTTTTTAAAATTTTTATGATGTACCCCTGAAAAATCAAAGATTGATTTTCAGCATTTTTCACAATTACGTCAGAAAAACTTGATATTTTGGATTTATATGTTTCTCAATATGATCTTTCGTTTGCGCAAAAAAAAACACGAAAAAAAATTAGAATTAGCGGCGGCCAGTTTGTTCGGTGGTCTGGCGGACCCTCTCTTAATTATCTAGTAAAATAGAAGTACAGCATCATATAAGTTACCCATGACGATCACGTATATTTGAATCTGTAGAACATAACACGTTTTACTTTATGGAAACTTCATATCTTCAGTGTATGTTAGCTAAGGGTAGAGAAAGAGAACATCTGATTTAGAAGCAATCCCTTCTGACGATAGACTAAATGAGTTCACAAATTTTTGACTTCAACTTTTATTTTAAGTATTCAGGAGAAAAGTAGATTTTGAGATGTATTAGAATGAGTTCAGCTAAATTTTATAATGTATTTGTATGTCTTTTATACATCTCGTAGAGAGATTTCCATCTCAAAGCGTTTCTTCTTATATAAATGTATATGACAGGACATTTTTTATTCAGGATTCCAGTAAAACATGGTAGTACGACTATTATTCATCACTCGAAAAGAATGAAACACAAAAGAAAAAATGAGTCTCGATTTTGATTGTAACTGAGGTAGCATCACAACTAATAACTAGCCAGACATTTTTCGAATCAAGCTGCCAAGACAAGGTGTTAGCTCAAATTCAAATTCGATATGAATGTTTATTTAATCTTTTCGAATGATAAAAAGTACCCGTATTATTATTGTTTATTCGAATAATGAATAAAAAGTTCCGTCATATACATGCATATGTATAGATTTAATTCAGCGGCAATAGCAAGGCATACTTTAAAATCCTCGATCGTCAAGGATGAGTAAAGTTGATCTTTGTACAATGAAGTTTCTTTTCATAATATCATTCGAAAAGATTCATATAAATGTTGACAGTAAATTTGAATTTGAGCTAAAACCTCGTCTAGATAGCTTGGTTGGTACACTTGACTCGCTATTTACCAGTTGTGATACTACCTTAGTTTCAATCTCAGTCACGACTGATTTTCTTTTAGAGTAATAAATAACAGTCGTTCTATCATCTTTTACAAGAACATTTATGTAATCGAAATTAAATCTTATATTAAAATAATTAAAATGCACGCTTAAAATAAAATAAAATAATGATAAAAAAATATTTTATTTTTTTTATAATTTATTTTACACATCTAGTCAATTCTAAATTCTTGAGTTCACAGTTTTTGCTAATAGATGAACTATATACTTTGTATTTTCTTCTGCTTTCTGGTACTTCAATATACTTTATTACGTTAACATTCAAAAGTACAACGTGTCTACTTCTTGAAGAAGTACACAGTAGCATCCAGAGTTGCAAGCAATGAGATATAAAAAAATATACTATGTATCCCGGACTTCAATATAGGTCTTCAAGAACTGATGCGTATGTTCATTTTATATAGAAAAAATATTATCGATGACAACTCATATGTATGTTGTTATAGATTTAATAACTATCTATAATTTTTGTAATCGTAACATAGTAGAGCGTTATTAATTATTGATCATGAAAGGGAAGAGGTGTTTTCGCTTGATGCTATAAGATAAGCTTATGATCTTTCTAACATGTACTTACAACGGAAGACATAGTTACACCTTTTTCAATCGGGATTCAGCAAAGATTATCGTTCGTCAACATAACATAAAGATTTAATTTGATTTTGGCATATACCTGTATAACTTTTTGGGAAACAAAGTTTGAGTATAAGGCTTCCAGAGATCTGAATCTTAAGGTTTGAAACAATTTGTAAGGCGTCTGTTTTAATACATACATCTATAATGTTGATTGTTTTTAAGTAAAACACTTAACGAAGTGATATTTATTTTACAATCTCACCCACGTACTAAATGTGTCTGACTACCCACCATTTATTATCGACAAACGATATAGATATTGAAAAAACTTTCCTTGTATCGCATTCTTTTTTTTTTTATTTTCATTATTGGTCAGTCTAAATCAGTTGATTGGGCAATTCATTGTGAGAAAAATGCATTGCTAAGAAATTTTATAATTCTTTGAATTAGTAATGACGATATATTCTGAAAACTAGATTAATCATGATAGATACAGAAGACGTTGAAGACTAGCCAAATCACTGGTCTTCGACCAATTTTTAAATTGTCTAACAAAGACACGAAAATCTTTCTGCTATTTGGAGTTTTTAAATTAACGGCAGCCTATTAGTAATTCATGATCTGAGGTCAGGAAACTCGTCAGTTATTGAATACTCTAGAATTAGATGATCGAATCTACCGTTTGTCTTTTTTTAATATTCTGCTTGTCTTCTACAGACCAGACATGACGGGATCAAAGAATGTCTCGAACTAGTCCAGATGTATTTACAGGACATTTTTGATCAATATAACTAGTCATGACTGGTATGAAAGACGTTTCTGATTAGACTTGAAAGATATTGTAGATATTTCGAATAAGTCATGTCACTCGTTTACACTTAGTTTTTGCTTACTTGTGATAATAACTGTCTCTCTTGGAATTCAATATTCAAAAACTTAAATTGAGTTCCTTGTTTATAAGAATACTTTTTTGACATCATTTTCTAAAGTCGACATAAAAGAAACTATTGTTTCATACATTAGAATTTGATCAAGTGCAAATGAATGCTTCGCTTACTTAATTAGAAAACCACTAGTGCATGCTCTCACTTTTTAATGGGAATGAAAATTAGAATTTATTTTTATATATAAGAATATTATTTCACAGTGTTGCGTCTGATTAACAACAAAGTCAGTTTAGATTTATTTTTTCAACGACACATATAAACATATTTTGAATGAAATAAGAAAAAAAAGTAGAATGATTGTTTTCTGTAGAAAAGAGTTTCATTCTTATTGAATAATAAACATGCGTAGTACATTCAAAAAGTTCCACGACTAATTCTATTGAGAAATAACAAGAAACACTGTTATACTTAGATTGTTATCTGTGTGCAGCAAAGCTAGGACAAATATTTTTTATGAAATTCAAGTATCTCTATTATAATTCTTATGTCATTTGAAATAAGCCTATGCCCAATAGGCTCATTTTATGCGTCGGTTGAGAAACTACAAAACATCTATATACGCTTTTCTAATATGAGCTTCATTCAACGGAAAACTATGTTCAAGTACAGCAAGTGCTTGTATTTGTTGATACTTGTAATTTTAGGCATTATATGTAATATTTCTTCGGTTTGTCAACAAATTGAAAGGACTGATGTATATCATTTTCCAGAGTAGAAGATGGTTAACAAAATGACCTTAATGGGGTTTGTGTTTCATACAAGACATTAAAGGTGTTATTGAAAATGTACATGAAGTACTATATAAGCACCAATCCTAGCTTTGGTGTGTAGTTCATATAGTCCTCTAGTTATAAACATTGTGAATACTGATCGATGAAACATTTATGCGCTAATAGAGAATCTTTTTTTGATCACCTGATACACAGTGATAAAAATCCCAAAAACTTCAGCAACGCTCAATAATAAAATTTCTCATTTTTGAAGACGAACCTCTATCCAATATCTATGAACATATGGTGCAAGTTTAAGGCGACCATATTCCATTGTGCACTACGGTTTTTGAATGGACTCATCGTTTTAAACATGGATGATTAAGAATTGATGATAGTGCTAAATGTGAACGATTAATTCTTGCAATCGATGACAAAAATATTAAAGCTGTTGACAGCCTACTCATCGAAGGCCATCGAATCCTAATTCAGCTAATAGCGCACAGTTTAAACATTTCAACTGGCGCGGTGCATGACATTTTCTATGACCCGTTACATATGATTAAAGTTATTTCGAGATAGATATCACATTTACTAACACCTAACCAACGATACGAACATGTTTAAGCATGTTAAGAGCTTTTGGCTCGGTATTCTATTAAACGAAACGATTTTCTTTTTAGAATTATAATTGATAATGAATCAAAACAATCCTCAAAACAGTGGCAACGAGCTGATTCACTATGAACAATTAAACTGAAACAAGAAAAGTCGGCTAACACAGTTTTATATTCGTTTTTCTGAAATCGTGAAGGAATCATTCTCAACGAGCCTGTGGTAGTGAATGTGACAACAAAAAAGGCATATTATGCAAATAGTTTGGTAAATGAACTTTATCTAGATATTAGAAAACAGCGGCGAAGTATGATTTCAGCTAAGGTCATTTTTCAACATAATACTGTTCCAGGACATACATCACACCATGTTTCTTCTACTACTCAAAATTTAAAATACAAATTGCTTCTTTATCCGTCAGATTTGGCTCCTAGTAATTGTTTCTTATTCCCAGTTTTAAAAGATTATTTCAAAGAAAAGCACTACAATGATCGAGTTTCATTAGGTTTAACAATACATCAGCGTCTGAACCGTCTGTCTGAAGATAATTTTAGAGCAACTACACAAAAGCTTCCAGAATGTTGGCAAAAGTGTGTTTCAGCAGAGAAGCATTACTTTGAAAAAGAGAACATATGTTTATAATTGTAACGCGTTGTGTCGTTTTTAAATTTAATCAGTTCGAAAATGTTTTGAACGTTCTACATATGAATCAAGCATAATATCCATGAAAAAAGATCTAATAAAGTTTTTTCACCTAAAATAAAAGTATCGTTTTTACGGATTCAGGATAATCTATATAGATGCAAAGCCCATAACCTGTTTGACAGTTTGACTGTCTTTATTTCTTTATTATTTTATTTTTTTTCTTAATTTATACAATAAGCTCTCTATTTCGGAACAGTACGAAATGACCATTGATAGCGAAAACGCTGTCGCGATTGCAATCGAAAATGACAACATAATGTTTCAATAATAGCTTGACGAAAATTACGCGAACTATACACATATAAAAATGGATTTAATAATGAATTTACATAACCAAACCAAAATATGATACATTGAAGTCCACTTGGAAATTTATTTGGATAAATTATTGATGTTGGATAAGATATTGTAAATGGAAGCCAACAAATAAGAAAAACAGCAAGTAAAAT